GTTATGTCAATGTTGAACAAGAAACTGAAGAAAGCTATAACTGGCCATGACTTTAAGTTTACCAGAGGAGGAGCTATAATTATTGAGCTTTCACGTGACGGTAGACAATGTGCTAATAAGCACCGTACATGTATTGACCATATATTATAAACCTTAAAACAGCCTCAGAAGTAGTACTATCGTTAGCCTCATTTTACTCTGGAGGAAACTAAGAAGCAGAAGGATAAAGGTTACCTAAGGAGGTTAAAGTTGCCTAAGAATACCAAGTCATCAATTGAAAGTCAGGATTTGAACCTAGCTTCACTACATAGGGGTGACTGCAGAAAGACAGATGGTATAAATTCAAACAGAGCATGGGGGACACCAAGAGAGTAAAAGGATCAGAACTGCCTGCCAAGTCTTATCACAACTAAACATTTCATGTACTGCCTCATTTACATCTTATGACAATGCTATAAGATAGGAATAGTATAATAATTAACTCTTTTGAAATGATTTTTCAGCTGAATGTCAAATTACATACCGGTATAAATCTGATTCAAGTAAAGTGAGTTGTCGAGCAATTTCTATTGGGTGTAAGGTGAGCAGGTCAAAAGTCTCTATGTGCCCAGGTCTGCTTATATGCCACTCAACTGTGGGAGGTGAACTCTGAAATGTAATATTGTGACCTGGCCCATTGTCTCTTGCAATTTTTTTCCTTTGGATTATTTTAGTGATGGATTCAACCCATTTTTTCATTGCTTTACCTGAAATACATTATATTTTAAAATAACATTTACATACTCCTTATTTGATATTTTATCTTTTAAAAAAGGTATAAAATCTCACAAATGATACCTGAATATATCTTTGCTATTAAAAGTTCAAATGATAAAATAAAAACTACAAGTTCCCTCCTCTTAGTCCCCCATTCCAATCTCATTCTTCTCCACGTGAATAAACTATTCATAGATTGATATGTATTTTTCTAGATCCTTTCTAAATAAAATTAGGAAGTAATTTATTTGAGAGATTTTTCACCTCTATTGCTCTCAACTTTAGTTCAAAATATTATTTTACAATATTCTCCCAAAAAGGTATTTCATACAAATTACAAGATTGATAGATTATACACATGCACTGATCTAATTAACATCACATTTTTATAAACCAAACAGTCTCAGAGGACTGAGTCCACACATCATTAAGTATGAATTTTGATGCTATACAATAGAAATAAAAACAAGTTTACTAGGACATCCTGGAGTCATATAGTACCAGATTTTTAAAATAGGAAGGAAAACAATGGAGATCATCAAACCTAGCTCCTCATGTTTCTGACAAGGAAAGTGAAATCTGAAGACTCAAAGTGATGATGTTAAACATAGACTCTAAGAATAATACCTTCTGCCACCTGATTATCTCTATTCACCTGTAGCCTGTCAGACTTCCATTAAGAGGTATTATAATTATAGAATAGTTGCTACATACCTCAGGTACACTTACTTTTAAATAAGTAACTTAGCTTCATTGAGAGTTTTCTAATCATTTCTAAAAGAATCAGTAAGTTGACTCACCAAATGAAAATACATTTGACTCAACAGAGTGATTACTGAGCAATCTGTAGGTCTAAATGTTGTTTGATGAGAAAATTTTAACTTTTAAAATGGTTGTGCTCTTACTATTATAAACATCTTGGGGACAAGGGATATAGCTCAGTGGTAGAGCATTTGCTTAGCATGTGTGAGGCCCTGGATTCAATCCCCTCCATCAAAAAAAAAAAAAAAAAAAAAATCACATCTCTAACAACATTGAGCAATTATGGCATCCATTGACAGTCACCATATTGTAGTTTTAATACATATAAAACAAGGCCTTTAGGGAAAACATACCTCTAACTGTTCCAATAAATTCCTCCATTCGTTGTAAAAGATCTGCATCTCTTTCAAAATCATAAAAGTGGTGCTCTACCCAGTGCCGACATACATTTAATACTCTGTGGTATTAGCAAAGAATTGAATTACATGGGAACTCAAATACAAATTTTATCAAAATAAAAGATACCAATAAAACAGACTCATCAATTTAAATAATCTTATCAGTGACTTTCAAAATTCTACATTATTAAGATATAATAAATTTAATTCATTTATTTTATTTATTACTTCTTCCTTTGGTCCTTATATATTCCAACTTTGAAACAAAAGTCTGATGAAGACTTGTTTACTTCAGTTATTATTTAATGCTTACCGTAGTTGAACAGGCTGTATATATTCTTTTCTAAATCTTTTTAGTTCTGCACTCAAGGGTTGATCTCCATTCTCTATAGCTATACGATCAGCTTCTGTTGGCTCAGGCTCTGGAATTTCAAACCTGTCATAACACAGAAAAAATTTAATGAAAATATTTATTTCAAATTATGCAATAGAAACCCACAAAGCTTTTTGTCAGCACAACTAAGAGATTACTGTTATTACACAATATATACATATACTGAAACATTACATGGTACTTCATTAATATGCACAATTATAAAATTATAAAAATTATAAAAGAAAAAAGAATACTATTCAAAATTACTTAAGGATGTAAACATCTGTGAAAACTAGTAAGGCTTCTATAATGTAAAGGCAAATGATAATATTTTTAAAAAGAGGTTAATACTTGACAATATAGGTAAAATTAACTAGAAATATAATAGATGCACGCAAAAATCTAAAAAATGACTATATAGTTATGGAATTGATGTTCAATCTTGGTTTGTAGAATTACTCTAAATCAGCTGATAACTTTTTAAGGGCAACTAATATTTGAAAAGTAGATTGCTCTTTGGGTAGATAAAAACACATTCCTGAATGATAGTATTAAACATATTTACTGACAAGTTATGGTTTACTCAATTTGTGGAATATTTGAAAACTTTTGTTTGAATATCTAAATCATAAAGAATTGAATATCCAGAGTCTAAATTATATAGCTAGGTGTGGTAGTGCACACCTATAATTCCAGCGGCTCCAGAGGTTGAGGCAGGAGGATTGCAAGTTAAAAGCCAGCCTCAGCAACTTAACTGGTTAGCAACTTAGATGACCCCATTTCTAAATAAAAAATAAAAACAGGCTGGGGATATGGGACAGTGGTTAAGCGCCCCTGGTTTACTTCTTGGTACCAAGAAAAAAAATTAAACAGAAACAAAAAAAACTCAGAGTTTAAATTATACACTTCTATGTAATATTTTAAAGTGATTAATTCTATAAATGTGAATTTTCAAATGCTAAATTTCCATTTAAAAATGGCACCTATTTTTTATTTAAATAATCAAAGGTAACATGATGTAAAAATAAATGGATTTATTTTAAAAGTGCTCATGAACTACAATTTAAAGCTCATCCAACGTATTTCTGAAAAACATATAAGATTATTGCTCAATCTCTTTTAAAAAAACTTAAACATTTTAAAAAACAGACCTTTCTATTATAAGACTCAGTAGTTCTTGAGGTTTGCAAAAGGATCTGTATGTTGTAAGAAATGTCCGAACAAAATTGGGATCTAAAAAGAAAAAGGAAAAATATTAAAGTATTTGATTCAGAATGTTTAAAACTACTATTTACATTTTTTAAAGAGATCAAAAGTAAATTTTAAAAGTCCCAAATGTTTCAGCACAGAAAATGTTTTGGATTTTGTAATGTACTACTAGCTTTAGTGCTTTCTAAATCCGTGGTAAAAAAATTGATATTAAAAATTTTTGTTAGCTTATTTCTTGCTCTCTGCACACTGGCCAGATGGTCTTACACTTATCATTGGCCACAGGAATGTATAAGGGAAAAAGGCAAAGGCATATTGCTACCAGGATCTCAGCCTATCACCAGTTGGTTTATCTCTCTGGTAAAGAAGTTGCAACAATAACCTATTAATTTCTTGGCATACAGATTAGTTTATCTTCGCATCTAGGATCAGTTATTTAGATTTTTTAAAAATAAAGTTAACACAGCATACAACTAGAAACTGAATCTTATAAAGTAGATTAAATATTGTTTTTAATTGTCAGAGGCCTTACCTAGAGCTGCTGAAACAACTGTAAGCTGTTACTGTTGAATTACATGGGAACTCAAACACAAATTTTATCTGTTAAAGCTGTTAAAAACTAACACAGAGACTAGAATTGTACAAATCAATCATAAGAAGAGTCTCCAACCCTCTTCATGAAAGGTTCTACTTTTCATTCATACCTCCATGAAGTAGAACAGGAGGCCCATTGACTGAGACAACTTCCCCAGACCTGACCTACTCCTGCTTCTCCTTGATAGTAGTCTCCCAAGTTGTAGAGAAAGGATGCTGTCATCAGCAAGAGAGAATTGGGCTATGGTCTTTTGATAAAGAGTGGGGGAGAACCCCACTCACTTCTATAACTCAAATTCCATCAAAGTCTACATTTAGTTATAAGAGTCCTTATAAAGAAGGAGGGGAAAGTTCGTTGACTTGAGTCTTTTTCTGGAAGCAGTCTCCTATTTACATTAGGGACTGGTAAAGTCTAATTTATGGTAAATTCACTGAGGACAACAAATGACTTTATTTTTGTTAGGCCACACATTGTGGATCAAAACTTAAAACAAATACGTTGTCTTTTATTAGCACAGGACTTAGCAAAATCAGAAGGTATCTGGAAAATTTTTATTTAAGCTGATTCTATCTGATTAAGAACCACTCTAAATTTAAATATTCATAACACTATTACCATTTTACTCTTGCAACGTCACAGATTCATTATAAAGCAGAAATCTATTTCTAATCTATTGGTATATATGGTCAAAAAGATAATGAATTGAGTTACATATCAGATAATCCTGGATTTAAAATTACAATACTTTTAAGTTAAAGAAAAGTTCACAGACTCAAAGTACATTGGTTTTAAATGCTCCATTTTCCTTTAGCTTCTGAGGCTAGAATGGGTTACTGATAAAAGTAATTTAAATACATATAATCCTTTAATAATTTCATTTCTGTTGGTATTTTATTGTCTTCAGTTACAGAGTTCCTCAGTTAAAGACTAATGTCTCATCCAGAAGAAAAGATTTTAAAACAGAAGGCTGTACAAGATTTTAAAACAGAGATTTTTATCGGTTTCATCACAACCCTCCCTTTCAAGAATCTTCTTCCTGTTCTGCAAATCTATTTGTAAGGTGAGGCTACTTTAAAAAAGCATGTATTTAGGAAGCAACAGCAGTGGCCACAATAGGGACTTTGAGCTGTCACTATTGGAGAGAGAGCCCCTACTCTCAGTACAGAGGTCCCAAGTATCCCTGAGCTGTGTTCCAAATTTACAGTGTCCCCCGCTCCTGCTTTAAAAGTTTATTTTAGTCTAAAGATTTAAAATCAACACCCAGATCTATTTCTTCTCAAATGCCAACCAAAATCAGGCTAAAATGTTGTGGGATTATCAAAGGTACTTGTAAGTTGAAAACAGAATAAAAGCAAGATCTAAGTGATTTAAAGTGTGTGTGTACATATATATATACATATATACATATATTTATTTTAGTTGTTAATGAACCTTTATTTTTTATTTACTTATATGTGGTGCTGAGGATCGTATCCAGTGCCTCACACATGCTAGGCAAGTGCTCTACCACTGAGTCCCAGCACCAGCCCCTAAAGTAGATTTTTATATTTTAAGAAAACAATGACTATTTTTAAAGGCAAATAATTTAAATCCTCTTAACCCAAACCATTAAAAACAGACTTTTCATGTTAAGCCATTTTAGTACTTTAGTAACTACACTCAGATGGGATCATGGCAATTCCTAATGACTGTTATGTAATGTTCTCAAAGAATTTTCACCTAATTTATTTCATATGATTTCTGTAAGCTCAGTAAGACAGGTGAGAGAAGTAACTAGGATTTATACAAAGTCACACAGTAGAGTGGCAAAACTGAAACCAGAACCTCGGTTATGTGATTCCTGATTTGGTGTTCTTTTCTACCATAATTATGTAAGCTATAACTATAAGCCTTCTTCTAGATTTTAGGAAGCAGCAGCTGTACCCTCCTGTACACTGCATTCAGAAGAGGAGTTTCTGGGGCTGATAGTGAAATAAACACTTCCACAATCATCACTGTTTTAGTAGGTTAAGTGACTCAAGTTTAAGTTGTTTTTAGCTTGATTAGAAGTAAGAGCAATCTTGTGAATTAGAAAAAAATAGCAGAAACCAAAAATAAACAAAAAATTTAGCAAAAATTTAAGTACTTTAAAAATATATAGTAAATGCTACCTATATTCCCAGGCTTGTGTAATTTAGACTCTATTTTTAGTCTAAAGCAATGAAAAGTCTAATGAATGAAAAATTTATTTGAGAGGCCATGGCCTATATTTGAAATTCTACACGAAAAAGCATACATATTCCAGAAACTATTTTTATTTCTATTGCACTTATTTCTCTATTTCAGTGACTGTATCATATACCATGCCACATTAACTACTAAAGACCTTTATCTTAGTGATGATCTAAAAATCAAAAAATATCCATCAATAAGGACAGATTATATAATTTTTGAAGAAAACAAAGTACCTACTTCCATTTATCAGGCAATGATAAAAGTTAAGGCATATTGCTAGTTGGTTGTGGGGTAGAAGTTATCTACTTATATTCTAAAATGATATTTCAAATACTGATGGAAGGCAAATACATAAAAATACAAAGGCCAACCTGCATTTGGCTTTGAAACATAAGTATGAAAAATATTCATAGAGGAAATAAAAAGCAGCCTATTTTGATATTGTCCTCTTTCTGATTATCACTCACAGAGATAATTCCACAAATTTCATGCTCAAACATGACTCCTAATGGATTTCATCATAAGCAACAAAAAATAAATTTGTCCATTTTTTTCCTGCCTCATCATCAGTAATACTACTCTTCCACTTGACTTTCAAATCTTGCATTGAGATTTCCATCATGTTCACTAGTTTCTCTGCTTTCCCCTCTCAGTATAACCTGTCTATACATACCTGCCAATTCCACTTTGAAATCCCTGGTCTATATCTAGATAATTTCAGACATAAGCTGTGGTTGTTATTTTCTGCTGGCCTTCTAACTGTCTTTGTTTTATTTTACTGCACAATTCTTTAAAATCCTACAAACTCAGAATATACCTACATTAGTGTTCAGAACATACACCTGAGATTTGAGGTGATAAATCCAATTCTTCTTGTGTACTTATTTTGATTGATATTTGACTTTTATTTGGCAAGGTCAATGTGATTTATGAAATATTTATTACATTAAAAGCTATTTATATGAAGAATACCCCTCCCCCATCCACCATAGCTCAACACTGTTAATCAGGATGTCTGTTCATGTGATAATACTCCCTTTAATACAGCCATTTAAAAGCTACAAGAAACAATAAGCTTCTCAGCAAGGATTTATAAACAATCACTCTTGAATTCCTTAAAAAAGGAAACAGACGCTATGCTGACGCACAAACACTTAAAAAAAAAAAATCAGAGGGCTTAAAAATAGAACACCACTGCCCTATAGATCAAACATCATTCAAAAGATTTTTAAAAAGTTAAGCACCCAAACTGAGCTTATGTAAGACACAAACTCAAAAATCTTCATTAGATTTTTATGTTTAGCACTTTATATATGAATGCATAATACAGCAGTAAATATTAAGTTTTTAAAATCCTATCTTCTGTAAAAGTGAAGTTCACAATGCAAGAGAAACACCCTTTTCTCACACTTCAATATGAAAAAACTTTTATTTTCCATATAATGTCAGTTCTGAATCACAATCCTTACCTGAAGGTCATCTCATTTTTCTAAAATAGACTACTAAACTGGATATTCCACCACCATCCTTTTCTCTACCCATATTGTTTTAGGTCTCAATAATTAATTCATATTTTACTGTCCACAACAACTCTGTGAAGTGACTCTTCCTAGTTTCCTTTTATGTTTGCTTATTCTAGGTAAGAAAATAGTCTCTTCATACCACTGTCAGATTGAGAATGATTCACCCCACTGGGTAATTCCTACTCCTATCCCACCCTGCCAGCATTTGGACTGAATCTCAAAGCTCTGATATAGTTAATGATTTACTGTATGTCCAGAAACACTGAGATGAGAGACAAGCTATAAATTAGATTCTGTATCAGATCCTGTTGCAATCCTTTCCATGAATTATACATTTTCTAATTCTCCTAAAGTTTCTTTTTACAGAAAAATTTCCTTTTACAGAACAAGCTATACCAATAGACTAAAGTCTGACTGGATTTTTTGAAAAAACAGAGTGATGATAATGATCTAACTATACAACTATGCTTTACAATGGCAGTTTGCCTATAGTTAGAACCTATCTTTACCTATTTCAATCAGAAAAACAGTTACAGACACTGACTGTATCTCCATAGTAAACCCATGTTTGCCCAGAAATGAACAAGCATTTATATCATTAGCATTTCAAACCAAGCAATTCCCTTTATTTTTACTAACACAATCTAATAAAGAAAAACTTAACCTTGTATGAATCTTTGTAATAGGTAGAAAGTATGTTGAGTCAAGAAACCTAATTTTTAGAACTTCTTATGCAATTACCTGATAATATGGTTTCTAGAAAACCATATAACCTTCAGGAGCCATGAGTTTTTATCTATAAAATGAGGGCTTGGACAACACTCCTTACATTAGTAATCTACAGCCCCCTTTTGTAGATTATTGTTAAAACACTTGAGGAATCAAGTTAGCTAAAGCTATAGTTAAGTCTGAATTAAGCAAGGTTAAACCAATTTCTCTTCTGTTTTTTATGACAATGTCTGACTAAACTATAATAATCTAAAAGATGTCTGTAGGTGGTATCTTATAGAATTAGTTATTAAATTTCTCATGTATTCTATTCAATGTCTTTTAAAATAATTCTATATAATAAAAATGTGCAAATTAATTTTAGCTTTCCTTCAGTGTAAGCCACAATCTGTACTGTGTGTTCGCCAATAAAAGTACCTATTAGCCAACTAACCAAACCAAAAATCCGTTTTTTTCTTTGGGGAAGCTGAAGAAAGGTAAAAGAAAAGTAGACCAGTTGTTCTTAAGACAAATAACTAGATCTGTTATCACAGTAGGGAGGACTCAAAGTCCATTTCAGTTGGAAGGGATCTTGAAAATAACTTCTTATTTTACAAGTTAACTCTCTTAGAAGTACATTCTGTATCACCAGTAATAAGTTCAGTAAACAAGTCTTACAGAATAGCTCAAAAAAGCTAATAATTAATAATAATTGTGTATACTACAACTCATGAAAGCTGCTAGTGGATTCCAGTTACATTAGTAATAACATTTATGACATAAAGCATTCAATTACATTTCAAAATAAGAATGAAAAAAAATGTCAAAATTAGCCCCAACACTTCTAAAACTAGCTGACATTTGATTTTTCAAGAAATTGCTGAGAGGAATCTCTCTTTTTTTTTAATTTAACTGTTTTAAACTTCAATAGTTTGGCAAAGTTCTACAAATTTAGAAATTTAAATATAATAATAATAATAAGCAAAACTATGCAAAATATTCTATTCAAAAGCTAAAAATTAATAAAGTAACTAATAACACCATGACAAAAGTGCTATAATCACCAACTTTGGCTAGCACTGTACACATTCAGGAATGAAGACTGACAGAAAAACTATCAGCTTGTTCAAGTTAAGTTTGCTTTATAGTATGCTCATTCAAAAAATAAATAAAGCACAGTTCCCCATAAAAGAAATATTTAATTGCAGTTTTGCAACTGTTTATGAAATATCAGAAATTAAATCTGTGAAATAAATCAGTTTAAAGAATAATTTTTATAATTAACAATCAAGTTTTATAGAAACAATTAGATTTGAAAATTTGGAATTTAAAAGTATTTTCCAACCACAATCCCAACTACTGACTTGTGATAAGAAACATCAGGAATGCTTTAGCTGTTTCCACTTATATTGCTTGATAGGAAAAGAAGTTAAAAATTTTGTCCTTACAGAGAAAAAAAATTAAGTATTAATTTTACTCTAAATAGTCTAAGAATCCCACTCCCCCCAAAAAAATATTTAGGATAAAATGAATATTTAGTTTAAAAAATGTTATTCTGGATCATAAAGTATAATATAAAAGGTTAATGAACATTAACTAATTAGGTAGATCATAATAACTACTGAAAATTGTTACCTCTTAAAAATGCTTTATATATTTTAAAAGATTATAACTTATTTTTGATATAAACATTAGGAAGCTTGTTTAATTTCCTGTGCTATTAAAATTTTTTAATAAAATTTTTGGATCAGCAAAATGATCCAATGACTACAGAAATTTTTAGGAGAAAAATTACCCAAAAAACTGAAATCCCAGACTATTTTTCTCTTACTACATTCAACATATGTCTCAGCTACTGCCTACTATTACCAAATGGTATGTGTTCAGAGAACCCAAACTGCTTATAAAACTAACCTATGGAAAATAC